CAAAAGATCCAATGACACTCTACAAAAAAGACACCTGCACTTGAATGTTTATAGCAGCACAATTCATAATTGCAAGGCTGTGGAAACAGCCCAAGTGCCCATCAATCCAAGAATGGATTAATAAAATGTGGTATATGTATACCATGGAGTACCATTCAGCTCTAAGAAACAATGGTGACATAGCACATCTTATATTTTCCTGGTTAGAGTTGGAACCTATACTACTAAGTGAAGTATCCCAAGAATGGAAAAACAAGCACCACATATATTCACCAGCAAATTGGTATTAACTGAGTAGCACCTAAGTGGACACATAGGTACTACAGTAATTGGGTATTAGGGAGGGGGGAGCAGAGAGGAAGGTGGGTACATACATACATAATGAGTGACATGTGCATCATCTGAGGGATGGTCACGCTGGAGGCTCAGACTTGTGGGGGGAGGGAGAAAAAGTGCATTTATTGAAACCTTGAAATCTGTACTCCCATAATATGCCAAAATAAAAAAAACCAAAAAACAAAAAAATAAACAAAAACAAAAAAAAGAATTTTAGTCTGTAGTTAGATTTACAATTTTTAAAAATTAATTTCTTCATTAATAGACTTTTAAAAAAATCAGATTTTGATTTACAGAAAAATTGGCAGGAAGTACTGGGTTCCTATATACCATTCTCCAAACACGAACACACACACACACACACACACGTACACACGTGCACACCACACACGCTTCCCAGTTAGCATCTTACATCAGTGTGGTATATTTGTTACAACTGATGATATATTATTACATTTGTTACAACTGATGATATATTGTTATGAACCAAAACCCAATATTGATACATTATTATTAACTAAAACCCATAGTTTATGTTAGGTTTCATTCTTTGTGTTGTATACTTCTACAAGTTTTGACACATGGATAAATTAAAAGTATTACCATTGCAGTATACAGAATAGTTTAGCTTTCCGAAAAAATCTCTGCACTGGAAAGATAATTCTAAATTCAGTGCCCCAAATTATCCAGGAAAACAACAACAACAAAAAATTTGTAGGAATTTCTAAGACACATAGTAAAGCAAAGTAATGCTGCTTTTCCAACCATGGAGACATGTAATTCTGAAGCTGCTTTTGTATATTAAAAATATATACTGGCTGTCAGCAATGCAATTAAATACAACAACATAAATAATTATTTTTAGTGTTTTGAAATGACTGTACCTCTGCCCCTCAGAAAAGAAAGAAAGAGGGGACCCTGTGATTCACAAAATGCCAGATTCTCTTAACAAATCATATATATTTCCTGATTTTTCATCTTATTTTCTGGTTCGTTTGTTTATTTTTCCTTATACTCTTCCATTAAAACTGAAAATTAACTGTTTAAAGTCTTCTCCCAAAAGTTGATCAACTAATAATTATAATTATATTTTTCCTCAGTTATTCTTTTCTTATTTCTTTTTTAAAAATCATAAAGATTGCACTTGTGCCCCTCCCCCTCCCCAGTGTCGCGAGTTGGCGCCGCTGCCACCCCCCACTCCGCGCTCTTGGCCCCTCGGCCGGCCGGGCGTACCGAGCCCTCTCGGCGCCCCTCGGATCCTCCCTCCCACCCGCCCTTCCCCGCGGGATCTGCCACCCGCACCTGCCCCCCAGCCCTGTTCTCTCCCCGCCGAGCCGCGGTGGCAGCAGCAGGAGGAGGAGCCGGAGCCGGAGCCGGAGCCGGAGCCGGAGGCGGCGGTGGCCGGGGAACCCATGGCGTACAGTCAAGGAGGCGGCAAGAAGAAAGTCTGTTACTACTACGATGGTGATATTGGAAACTATTATTATGGACAAGGTCATCCCATGAAACCTCATAGAATCCGCATGACCCATAACTTGCTGTTAAATTATGGCTTATACAGAAAAATGGAAATATATAGGCCCCATAAAGCCACTGCCGAAGAAATGACAAAATACCACAGTGATGAGTATATCAAATTTTTGCGGTCAATAAGACCAGATAACATGTCTGAGTATAGTAAGCAGATGCAGAGATTTAATGTTGGAGAGGATTGTCCAGTGTTTGATGGACTCTTTGAGTTTTGTCAGCTCTCAACTGGCGGCTCAGTTGCTGGGGCCGTGAAGTTAAACCGACAACAAACTGATATGGCTGTTAATTGGGCTGGAGGATTACATCATGCTAAGAAATCAGAAGCATCAGGGTTCCTTTATCCTTAATGACTACTTCCGTGCTTGCCATTCCTTGAATTACCTAAAAGCTACTCAATCAGACGAGTCCCTATATAGTTGATACTAGATACCATCATGGCATGGTGTGAAGAAGCTTCTTATACAGACAGATCGTGTAATGACTGTATCTCATATCCATAAATCTGGGGAATACTTTCCTGGCACGCGGAGACTTGAGGGATATTGGGGTGTCTGGAAAAGGCAAATACTATGCTGTCAATTTTCCAATGGAGAGAGCATCAGAGATAAGTCATATGGACAGATATTAACTATTA